TCAGCTTGGCTTACTGAATAGAATGCTGGGACCCTGAAATGCCTCTAGAGCTATTGGCTTCATTCTTTAAAACCTTCTATGTTTGAAAAAGAATGAATATTACAAACAATCAGTTAGCAGTTAATAAAATCCAGATAGCAAAGTTTAGCAATAAACTGAAGAGAAAAGTTAAGGTGATACAAGCTATTAGAGTAAAAATTGCTACTCTACTAAAACATATGGCTAATCCTTGTTTCTTTCATGCTAACAAGCAGGCTCTTCTAAGCTCAAGCATATAGATAAGTAAAACGTTGGACAAAAAACACTCACAATTTTCAGATCACAGTCCACAAATTGTTCATCCCCAATTCTAGATGTCCCCTGCACATCCTGATTCAGTATTTTGCATAATTAAAATGATCAGCATATTCTATAAGTAAGCCATGGCAAAATTAAATCTTGAACAAACTGTATCTTTAGACGTCTCACTTTTCTGGAACATTAACAAAAGAAGTTCCAAACGCACAACAAGAAGTTATACAGTATGGTAACAAATTCTTTTTAGTAGAGATAACAAATATTAACCAACAGCTGTATCAATCAAGATAGCTTTGTTTAGGCAAAGGTTTTGAGTTCTTCATTTTTAACAGCATGATGCAGAAAATCTAGTGGTTTTTTCCCCTGCTATAATCTCCTAGAAATTATAAAGTAAAAAGACAAAATGAAGTAAATACAAATCTTTAGATTTCAGACAGTTAAGACTTTATTGTAGCACAATTCAAACTACAACTCACAGCTACTAACTTCAGCACATAATCTTCACTACAGCTTTCCCCTTGCAAAAGGGTGGTTGAGAAAATATTACAGTATAAGGGAAAAAAGGTGCAAAGGAATTGAAAGAGCCCAAACTTAGTTCTATCCTACCCAGATTAAGAACAGCAGAGAGAGAAACATGTACACAGTTTTAACCCACTAAAGCCACCATTCCTGGAAGCGGTACAATGCAAATAATTAGTTAACAGTAGTTTGCTCCAGAATCACTTATAGCAAACAATTAAAGAAAGAAAGTCCTAATACTAAATTTATTTATTTTTGGATAACTTAACATTCATACACAATAATTATCACAATTTACAAGCAAAGTACTTCCTACAACTCACGAGATCTGCCAAATTCTCAAATGGACCAAAATGCATCATTTAATCAGGCAACCAGAAAAAAAAAGCAACTAAAAACTGCAAATTGAGGGCTAAAACAAATGAAACAATAGAAAATGGACACAAGATAGTGGAGGCTGCTATTTAGCATTTTCCAATCTGTGGTTAATTTGAAGCCAGAAGAAAAGAAGAAATTAACATTAATATTTTTATTCGTACCAATCCTCTTCGAAAACATATATATATATATATATATTTGAAGTATTCATTATAAAAATTTATTGATTGAAATCAATTTTTAAAAGCCACCACCAAAAAATGTTTTATTCCCCTACACTTCAACAGAATCGTATTCGAGTTTTGGGTCTATATAAACAAATTGCGTTGCAAAAGAAAAACAAACCAACCAAGCTAGGCAAGCCTGCTCTCTATTATCACTCTGTCATAAACCTCAAAAACCCCAATGCAAGCCACAAAGGATAACAAGGATCAGAAAAACAAATTGGAACAAGTTTTTCGAGCTTACTCGAAGCAAGGCAGCCTCAACAGGAACCAGCTCAAGGATGCTTTTGAACATCTAGGTGCACTAATGCCAAACAAGCAAGTTGAAGAGGCCATGGACGTTGCTGATAAAAATAAGGACAATTTGATCGACTGCACCAGTGATGAGCTCGATTCCCTTGTAGAATATGCTTACAATAAAGGTTTCAGCAGTTCCATTTGAGTACCGATGGATCAACTTTCAGCGTAATTATGGGATGTTTATGACTGCTGAAAAATAAATACACAGCTTTGGGTCTTTTTCCTTCATGCTATCTCAAAAATATGATAAAACCAAATAAAATAAAATCCCATGTTTTTATTTTAAAGTTTGTAATTCTCTCTGTAATTTTACATGCTTACAAGTTAGATTGTATGTATGAACTATCAAGTACCATAACGTGTTGTTCATATGATAAATTACAGACTAATATTTTTATTATTTAAAATATAGGTAAAAAATTCAAGAAAACTTAAAAGTAAACTTACTCGAGAGGAAAGCAGACAGTGTACAATATACGTATCTATATATATATATATATATATATATGAATTTAATTTAAATATTTAACTTTTTTTATTTTTACACACACTTACACATGCATTTGCACACGCATATTGTTTGACAAAAAATTTTATGTATTGATGCCAATATCAACAAGCAAAAGAAAATTATACTCTGATGAAAATTAAAATATCAAAGTGAGTTAATTAGTTGTAGAATTTTAAGTGAGATTTTATTTATGAAGGTAACTTCAAATATTAAAAGTTGAAGTATCTTGTTTAACAAAAATTATATATATCTAGATTATATTTTTGGAAGTAGTTAAAATTTTTAGTAATTTTATTAAAATGTCTGTGAGGCATATATGAAGGATTAATTTGTGATGTCATTTGTGCATTGCTTTGGTTTGGAAAATACAATTTTACGTTAACTTAAAAAATAATTTATTTGGTTATGAAATTACTACTTTTAATGGTCAAAATATGCCATCCATCTTTATTTTCTTCAATTTTTAAGAATTTAATCCCTTTAATATTATGTAAAAAAAATTTGTCCTTATAATATTATTTTTTAAAGATTTCAGTTCAATTGTTGACAATGCACAAGAATTAAATTCTTTAAGAAATAATACTATTTGGACTAAATTTCTTAAAAATAATATTACAATGACCAAAATTTTTTAAATAATATTATAGAGATTAAATTTTTAAAAATAAAAAATATAGGGATATATGACTCATTTTAACCTATTTTAATCTTTTAAGTTATTTTTCTATTCTACTATCAATTAATTCATTTTTTAATAATAAAATTTGACCTTTTCTTACTTCATAAATGTTTCGTACAAAATTATTATAGTGAGATGATGCTATTGTAATTTGGTAATAAGTCATATTTTTTAATCATTATAAAGACTTCCTATTATCTAACCCTCAATTCACTGTAATAATTTCGACATTTTATCATATAGTTTTTAGCTTTTTACTACTTGCTTTATATGTATTATTATATGTGCATGTATAATGTAAGATAATATAAATAATTCATATTTAAAATTATCATAATTTAAACTTTGATCATTAAAATTAAAATTTTAATATTCTATTAACAGCTCACATTAGTGTTACCATCTTGATAACAAATTTCAAAGACTCCATTACTACAAGTGAATGTGATAATTTTTGTAATATAAACGTATGAGCATGCTTACATAAGTTTTAAGAACCATAAATTTTGGTAAATAAATTCTAGGCTTGATTAGGAACTCAATTAATGACCATTGGGCTCGGCTCAGCCCAACCCCAATAAAATCCAACAACGTTGAATTCAAAATAATTTTTATATTATTTTTTATAAAATTTATCTAATTAAAAAAATAAAAAAATTAAATAAAAGTGACACTTGAATATCTCAATTGGCCTTTTTTTTCTCACTAAATTTATCTAATAAAAAGTAAAATGAAAAAGAAAAAAAAGGAAAAACAAAAAAAAAATCTAATAATAATAATTTTATTAATATAATACATGTATATAAATATAAATATAAAATTAAATTAATAATAAAATATATACCTTTACGAGATAACTCAAAACAAAGCACCCTAAATTCACATTTTACACCTTTACTTTTCTAAAAACCCAATTTGACTCGATTTGATGTCCATTTTTTTACAAAAACATTCATATCAAATCGAGATAGATTGAAATTTATCAGATACTAATTATTTTATTATTTTTATCAATTATCTTATTTTGTTATAAAATTTATCTAATTAAAAAATTAAAATATAAAAAAAAAAAAACAAATGGTATAATACGAGTTGCTAACTCATACAAATTTATGAAAAATAAATAGAAAAGGTGAGAATTATACTATATATATTTGGAATCATTGAAAAAAAATGCATGCATTGCAGCTGATTTTTCAGTGTATTAGATAATATTATTTTGATTAAGTATTGTTTGCATAATGTTAAATGCTTTTATTTAGTACTATTTAATTGTAATACTATTTATTAAAATTTAATCATATTGCAAAATATAATATCATTTAAATAATATTGAAATTATATATAGTTAGTAATACAATAGGAGTAATAATTATATAAAATATTATATAGGACGATTATCATTTTATTTTTTTAGATACAAACTAAATATAATATAAAATGATTATTATTCTATCATATCTATTATCTTATGCATCAAATATGACTTTATATATTTTTTAATTCATGAGATTGAACTTACATGTTTTTTTATACATTTAAAAATTAAATCAATAATTTAAATTGTATAAATTTTGAGAAAAAATAATTTTGATCAATAAATAAATTATTTTATCATAATATTAACGCACATGAAATATAAGATAAGATAATATTATTTATTCTAATCCTATTAATAATATCATCTTATTCTATCTTATCATAATTTTATGTATCAAATATATCTTAAATGATATTAATTAAAATTATTGAATATGAAAATTTTGCCACATAATAATAATATAAATTAATATAACTCTAAATTATTTTTTTAAAAAATATGTAATATAAATCATATTAGTAATGAAAATGTTAATCAATACCTATTGACCTTATTAAGATGATATTTGCAAGAAAAATTATATAATTAATATATTGTATTTTCTTGAAAGTGAAAATAATGTATTAAATGGATAAATATATTAAAGAAAAAGTAATTTTCTTTTCATTTTTTTTTCATCTTTTCAACCAAGTTTACTATATTTTTTATCTTTTCATTTTTCACTCATTCTAGCCTTTTATTTTTATATTTTTTTATCGATTCTACCAAACAAAGCCTTATGTCTATTTGGTTTGATACCTAAAAACGAAATAATGCTGATTAACAAAAAACTGTTTTTGAAAAACCATAGTGAGTGTCATCAGCCCTAATTCATGAGCACCAATGGCAAGAATGTGTCAAAGGTCTCAACCACCAAAACAGCATTTGGATTCAAAGTGCCTGGTCAAAAGGCCGAGAGATCTCCTCTGAAATTGCCTTCCTCTATACATGTCAATAAATTAAATGGTTTTCCAAACTATAAATTGGAAGCATATCTTCACAATTAATGTGCAGCACATCATAACAGTACCTACCTCTCTAATCTCTAATTTTACAGCTTTTAGATTCCAAATACAAGCACCAAATATGTCTGATAACTCTTCTCAGAGCATAAGCTACCAGGCTGGTGAGGCCAAGGGCCACGCTCAGGTAAGTTTTTCATTGAATTATAATTTTTTTTTTTATTTGGCAGGAAAGGGTTCGTGAGCTTTTCTGGTACATCCCTCTTCGGGCCGATCCAAGTAGACTTATCTACTTACAGGTATAAGGGTGCATTTTCTTATGTTTATTTCAGGAAAAGGGTAGCAGCATGATGGACAGGGCTGCCAATGCTGCCCAATCTGCAAAGGAATCAATGCAAGAGGTTAGAAAAAACTAAATCCAAGATCATCGATTTTTGTTTCCTTTTGGTTTTGAAGGTAACATGAATTAATTAAAATCTGTTGTTATATATTAATTAATTGACAGACTAGGCAGCAGATGATGGACAAGGCACAGGGAGCTAAAGAAGCTGTGAAGGATGCAACTGGCATGAACAAATGAAGCTGACAGAAGCTGAAAGTGATCAAGAACCTGTCTTGTCGTCTATCCATTTTCATTTAGATGCTTTCTTTTCTTGTTTAATATTTAGTGTTTTGTTGGAGCATTTATAAAATGCTCTTTTAGTTTTTCCCATGAACAAAGAGGAGAGCTCTTATAATGTAGTTGTCAGGAGTTGCTCTTCCACTTATTTCTTTAATGCATTTCCTATATGTCTTCCATTCTTATTGTTCTTATCATTTTGTTCAACAAGTTATGATGATGCATGTGTAGAAGGGGATAATTTTTTATCCAATTACAAATTGCCACATGTCCAATGGATGTATAACATCTAACTGATAGTGCATCAAATATAACACTTACAAATTTGTTAAGTTTGGGAAAAGTTTTGGAACATATTAAGTTTATTCTGTTGTGGCTTTTCTAATTCCTTTTTTTTTTCTTCTGATTTGGTGCTTCAAATTCTTGGATGTAATAAGGTTTGGGTATGAATATATATACAAGCTGATATAATTTTAGTGCTTATAATGGGGTTTTGAGTTAAAAGCTGTATTAATGTAACTATTATTACTACTATTACATACAACATCAAATGATAAATATTCGTGTAGACTTCTAAACATCTTAATGTTGTTTTTATTATTGTGAGTATAAAAAATAATTGTTCAAGGGCTGAGTTACATACCCAAGCATGCAAAGTTTGCCCCATAATTGGGTGGGCTTGCAAATATCTATATCTATATCTATATATATATATATATTTAAGGAAGGGAGTTGGAGCAAGAGCACTGCTGTTGATTTGTGGAGATGCTCTTGGAGTGGCTGTTTTGCTTGTGTTTCAGGTCAGGCTCAAACTTTTCCAGGGCAACTTGCTGCATGCGAAGGACGGTTAGTTGTTGGATTGTCAAATTCAATGGTCTTTAAGCTTCTGATATATTTAGCAGATTGCAAAAAGTTAATTAGTTTGATATGAATTTAAGGTGATAAGATTTAGTCATGGGAAAAGTGAGGCTTAAATCAACATGATTTGATTTACATTTTGCCAATGGAAGCAACAAATTTTAGAATGACACGTGGTGTTCCAAAGTAGCTACTGGTTTTTGAATAATTGAGTTTGGGGACCAGAGCTAGAAATTTTTGTTTCTACCCATACATTTGCTATTGGAGTTGAGTTGGGTTTCACACTATGTTTCTGAAATGGTTGAAAAAACTGCAGGCTTTTAGCAGAATGCCATCAGGAAAAAGAGTGAAAAAGAGACGTTTGTAGGATCGCATGCCAATGTGAAGTTATCTTATCCATGCAGCCCAACAATGCCCTGATTTCATTACTCCAATTCTCTTTTCAAGATGCTCGAGGGACCAAATGAGCATCATTTCCTGGAAAAACATGAATCCAACCCTTATTTCTCACGCATAACTTACAATTTTTGCTAAACTAGTTACAATGGCGGATCCTCCCTTTGAAGTAGGGTATCCATGGACATCCTTTCAGACAATTAATAAATCTGTCAACAGTTTTATCCTGGATTTGCCATTGGTAACAATCTTGTAGTCTGATTTTGAATCTCAGACTTGGTTTATTCAGGATAACCTGAAAACTATCTTGCTTTAGTTTCTTTGTGCAAGGTTGCAATGGTCGTTGAATCAACAATGGCTCTGCATTTCCATGAAATTGAATTTAATGCAAAACAGCCTTTTTCAGCCAAGAATGGGGTCACCAATCTGGTAAACAGATTAAGTGAATAAGACTTGTGAATGAGCAAAACGCGGTGAGTGTGACTGAACATGACATATGAATATGTTTATTGCCATCCTGGGGCTGTTTTTATTGCTATAGTTCACTCGAAATTTCTTAATCTCAAATACCAGCAACTTCCCTTTTAGCCTTGTGTTTCTGTATATATCTTCAAATTGAAGTGAATTGTGTGTCTTTCTGATGAATGAAGGGTGAGGACCAAAGAACAAGTTATGTTCTTACAAACATTACGACAAAATTGCCATCATGTTGTGATGATTAGTAGCTATTACTTCTACTATCACTGCCACTATGATGAACAAGCAACAGAAGAGAGAGGGGACCATGGATGGAAAATTTCTGCCATTGTAGGTCTTAGTGTGCCCACATAATATACAAAACTAGACATGTGGTTAACAATTGGTGTGTCTCCATGTTTAGATAACCTTATCTTAAATCGAGTAAAGACAATTAATTAAAATGTTAATAATAGCCTACGCTCATATATTCGATTAATAAAATAATGAACTTTTAATTCAAGTAATTAGAGATTAAATCTAACAGTTTCAAATATAAAAAATATTAACAATAATCTATGTTAGACAACAATATTGCAAGGTTAGTGTCGGACATTATACTCGTGTCTTATGCATGTTAATTTTTTTTTTTTTTTGTATATTTAGAGGATCAGACCTCTATGCTCATGTTAATTGGATATGTGTTGAATCAATTTAGATATAATGGAGCTATACACATAAATAATAATCTATATAATTATATAAAAAATTATGGATGTGGAGAAATTTTTGAACTGACCAAAACATATATTTTTGTCCATTAAAATTTTAAATTGTCATTTTAAATTAATTTTATTTTATCATAATTTTAAATTTAAATAATAAGATTAATTTTATAGATAGAAAAAGAGTTTTAATTGTATTGAATTATTGTCATTAGAATAAAATTTTTTGGATAATGGTTTTTTAGATAACTTGGGTTAATATATTAATAAATAAGATAAAGTTAACTAGAGTTCATTAGTAATATATTGGTAAACTTTGGATTCAATATCAACTCAGTCAAAATGTTTGACAAGTAATTTTTTTATTAATGAATTTTTTCAATAACGATTTTTTAGATAATTTTAATGAGTTAATTTATCAAATAAAGATATATATATTTTTTTAAACAGATCAAATAAAGTTCATGTGTAACTAAATCTCATGCCTTTATATACACAGGTATAACTCTGGTTTCAATATTACAATCAAAATATTTAGCAATTAGTTTATCTTTTTAAATGAATTTGGACCGGCTTAAAAAAAATGCTAATATTTATTATACAATTTGAATTTTTTTTTTCAAAAAAGAGATTTTTTTTCATTTATTTCAACAAATATTGCATATACATATGATGGTTGGTTTTTAAAGAAAACCTTGTTGTCATGGGTGATACTTAAGCTTTAGGCTCACGTGACTTTAGAATAAAAAAATGAATTCTTTTACATCTAAGATCAACCTTACAATCCACGGATACTCAGAGTTGCAGGGTTTTGCTGCCTAGAACATTGTAGAACAAAAGGGCACATCAGAATCATTGAGTAATAAAATTCTTACTCTTGCCTTATCTTTCTGATGTTCTCTTGTTAGTCTTTCTTCAAGCATTTGCTGTATCATTTTGCTCTGTAGCATTTTAAGTTGTCAAGTTCGACGGTCTTGAGTGTTCGTATGTTATTTTTTATATTAGGTTGAATTGAGATGCGAAAAAATCTATTCTCATATCTTAAAATCATACAAACCTAAAGCTTAAATTTCGACTCATACACTATAATCATCTGGTTCTCACTTTAAATACCTCCAATAAGAGTGGAATTAAACGACACGAAGAATTAAAACTATTCTTATGTGCATGAACGGTAAAGCTGTAAAAGTTAGCTAAATGCATTGAAAGACAAGACGAATTGCAGTAAAGCTGTAAGATAAATGTACTTGAATTCTGTGTATAGTTTTTGAATTTTACATCGTTCTAACTCATATTTTATACAAGCAAAATTGAAGAAAAGAAAACTGAAATTTTAACTATCTCCTAATTATAATCGCGACTTAAGGGAGAAAAAAATAAAAAAAAATAAAAAATGATTTGAAATTATAGTATTTAGTTTGATTTGAATCGATTTTTTTATTTGATTCAGATTAAGTTCAGATAATAAATATATATATATATTAAGTTAAGTTCAAATTTAAGATTAAAAAATAAAAAAATAAATTATATATTTTTATTAACTTTTATATATTTTTTAAATTTTTATAAAATAAAAATAATTATTTTATACTTAAATATATTTAAATATATTAAAAATTATATTAAAATAATATATAAAATAATAAATTTAAAAAACTATTGAACCTAACCTATAAATTTTGATTAAATTTAAATTAAAATTTAAAAATTTATAATTTTATACACTATAAAAAAAATCAAATTAAATCAAAATCGATCCTATCTTATCCGAGTCATCATTCCATCTATTGGAATCATCTTCTTCTTTGCCTCCACATTGTCTATCATAGGTGAAAACTGCTCCACGTGCTATTCTTCACTCCTTGCAACTATTTGTTAAATTTAAGCCGCTTCTGAATGCTTAACCTTCAAGTCAAAATGCTCCTTAATTATATGAAAACCAATAATTGTCCCATATGAAAGGTATAATATCTCTGTCATGCAAAATGTAAACAGCAAATTAACATAATAACTGATAATAAATAACCAAGATATGAAAATTCCGCACCAATACATTGTTTTTTTTTTTTTTTAACTTTTAGAAAACCATATAATAATTTGATTTAAAACTCTTTGTGAAAATCAAAATGGAACCTAATGGAATACAGTTTTTATATGAAATAATGTGAGATGGCCAAAAGCCTTATATTCGAAAAGAAATCCCTCCCTTCATATCTCATGTATTCTTAGCATTTTAGGAACATGGAAAAATAGCTAATCATGTACTTTGTCGATCTAAAGCTTTGAATATTTGCTTTAACCTTAAGAATTTATTATAATTTTAATAACAAGTAGAATTAGCTTTTTTTCTTTTTTATGTTAATACTATCATAAAAGTCTCCAAGACCTAATCCGATTGTGAGATATTTTAAGAGCGTATTTTTTGGTATCCAGTAGGGGTAATAATAATTTAGATTAAATCAAATTTAATTTGATATTTTCGGATAACGTATACTATTATAAATTTTTAAGATCTGATCAAAATCCGAACTAATATTTTCTTGAAATCAATTTGATTCAAATTGAATTTTACCATCGATTTAAAATTTATTTTTTTATATTAATATGATTTTTAATATATTTAAATAAATTTTTATATAAAATAATTACTTTTATTCTATAAAAATTAAAAAAATATAAACTAATAAAATATATAATTTTTTTCAATTTTTTTAATTTTTTACATTTTGATCTAGAATCCAATCTGAACTTAATATATACATTTAATATCCGAATTTGATTTAACTGAATAAGAAAAAAATCGATTTGAACCGAATTAAATACTTTGATTTTGAATCGATTTTCTCAATTTTTTCTCACTCCTAGTATCAAGTATATTTGGGATTTTTTTTTTGAATATCCTTCTAGCAAAAATATTTTTTTATCAAAAGAGACCATAGCCTCGAACAAGAAAAGAGATTACA